AAAAGTATTCTTTTTCTTGTTAGAATAAAGTCCAGTTTTTTTGTTTCTTGTTCAATGGCCCATTTATTATTCCCAGTTTGTAATTGTTCAGAAAAGGAAAAGTTTTTGGTGAATTTTTCTTTATTATTTCCACATAGTTGCGAGAAACTATTTTCAGCAAGTATAACTTTCAAGGAGAGATTTTACTGGCATTTTACTCAAATTATTTTCATATAATAAGTACTCATCCTTGTTACGTAAGCTGAGCTGTAATACATATGATCTTATCCAGATACAAAACGGATACGAAAGATATCCTCCAGCCAGACAAGTAAACCATGTAGTTACGTCTCATCTCATGGTGAAAGCATCCCTTAAAAAATGGATTCTGCTTCTCCCGTGCCGTAATAGAGCTCTCAATTTTAAATGAATCATTACTTGACATTGGTTGAGACATTGTATCGCTCGTCTGATAAGAGAAACATGCCATAATGCGAAACGATGCCCATCAACGTTGCAACATCGTGCTCACTGGCGACCAGAAGGACGCGAAAGAACGCAATGTCCTAAACCCGACCGACCATATTTCGAAAGAAGGGCAAAGGCCACCCGGCAAAGTATTGAACATCGTTGACTTTAATTTGGAGTGTTATGGTTTTAGAGTGTTGGCGGGTTGCATGACAAGTTCACATTAGAGAATGAAAAAGACAATTATGAATGAGGAAGAGCGAGTGGTGAGGTCGGATTCGGAGACGACTCCTCCGTAATACATACATTGCTTTCTACCCTTTTCCCTTATTTGCTGGATGGTGGTGGAAACCTGAAACTTTGTTAAAGTTAACCAAGCGAAAAAAGTATCGGAAACAACTTCAGGAAAGAAGTTCCTTTGGGTGGCTGCTGCTGCTGCTGGGTCGGTTCGTGGTGGTGGTACTTTCCCCCTTCTACGTCTTCATCTTCTCAAGAAGAAAAATGGAGCAAGTGCCTTTCAATTTTGAAAAAAAGTTTAATGTAAACTTTGGTCAGGAGAAGGAGGAGGAGGAGGCGAAGCTATAATAACAAGTCATTCTCTTGTATTTAGGAAATAAGTTGGGCGGCTCATTGTTTTACACGGGATGAAGTTCTCGAAAAGTTGTTAAAGCGAGGACGACCAAGGCGAAGAAAGCAAGAAGAAAAGAAGAACAATAATTCGCGTAGGCGCTGACTTGGACCGTGCTGAATGTGCAGGAAAAAAGTGAAGTAAATTGCTGTGCTCTGGCTTTGGAAAATTTATCATTTTGCGAGTATTTCAAATAAATTCGGTCCGATTTTTAAAGCGTGGCGTCCAAGAGTGGGTCGAGCCAAGCTTGTAGGGAGGGAGGGAGAAAGTTAGTAAAGTAAGTTTCTTCATTACACGAGGGCACTTACTCCTTTGCTTTTGTGATGGGCTGCTCAGTGTTTGATGGACTACCTCCACAGTGGGTGGAAAGCATGAGAGTGTGGCCTGAATGGTGGGCAAGATGGGCAGTAATGTTCATGATAGGTCTTAGCTTAATGGTCGCAATAATAAATATCAGGTCAGAAGTGCAAGAGAAAAAACGGGATTTAATAGAAATGGGAGACAAAAGGAAGTATCTCGGTAAGATGAGAGAGAGAGTTCCACGAGGAGGAAAATAGCAACCACGCCTTTGCATTTTCACTGAGTGAATTAGTATCCACTCGAGCAATTCGGACATTCGGCCTTTTTTCCCCTTTCTCTGGTCGAGTTCTCCACCTTTTCATGGCTCCTCCATACGCACCACTCTCTCAATTACACTCATTCACTCTATTCACCCAGACCAATCACCATTTGAAAGCGATCCTGCCTTCATCACAGTTTGTTGATTTCGGGACAAAATGAGAATATAATTCGGATCTGCGTCACCAACGGGGCTCTTGGCCATGCATATTTTAGTTCTTAAAATAAATTTGGCATAAAACAATAGTCCATCTAAACAAGTGAGACGTCAGTCAATGCGCGATCATTTTTGCAGATTAGGCAAAGATTCGTATCAACTAAATAAAACGGAAACTGCTCACTCTGCGCTCGAGTGGGTGTGCGTGCTTGGATGCCAAAATTTTATAATTCAATGTGAAAAGAATGTCATCTCGTTTGCTTGTCAGTTTGTAGAATTGGTGATGATAAAGGTTGGGTTATGGATGAGTAAATGATAGAAATATAATAATTTTTGGTGTAAATTTACCGTTAATATTGTTGTTCACGCTGTAAATATTTGATATGATGAAATATGAAATGTGCTTCACTTGTGGAAGATATGACTAAATGATTTGCCAAATAATACCTAAGGAATTTCCCTATTTTAAGCCAACCTCTGTTAAAACTCCTCAAATTGATTGAGATCGAATCCTGCAGTGTTTTCAGCCCAGCAAGGAGGAGATAATGTATCAAAGAAAGCAGTTTTAGGAATACATGTAATACTGCATGTTTGCCGAGAGACTTTGCCTTTTCTTGTGTGTGTCGGATTGTACGTGTAGAAAATCCAGTCGTCTTATTCTCCATTCGTTTGGATGCAGTGTGTTTGGTTTGGTTACGTAAATCCCAGAGGAATCGAGACGTAATGCATGAAGTCAACTTGAACCCCAGAAACAGACGTTTCTCGACTTGTCCTTATTCTTTCCGATGGTAATGTCCCTGCGGAGAGTGAATGTTGAACATGTACCACGGTACCAATGCCATCACATCACCAGCCACTCACAAAACAACTTGCACAGGCTGGCGAACAACACAAATTCGAAAATGGCTCAGAATGAATAGCAAACTCCTTCACGAGGAGAATAGGACGTTCGTACGTATGTAAAAGAAGGGGAAAGTCAGGGGAGAAGGTGATGCAGAATATTATTAATATTTGCTTCCTCGTCTTCTTCTCCTCATGATGATGACATCCAATCCAACCAGACTCTATTTTAGGCAAAATAGACAGTAACACAACTACAAGTTATTTCTTCGCACACACCCTCTTCTAAGGGATGTGAATTAAATCTTATTTTTTCTCAAATGTATTCATTATATTTCTCCAATAAAACAGGGCCAAATTAAAATATAGAGACGCATGGGAAATTGTTGACACGTTGGATGGAATGATGGAATAGTCGTGTCTAAAGTGCAAGTATGTACATAGAAAGCACAATACTGTGCATAACATGCAAATGAAATCCACTGAACTGGAGGTGGAAGAGGATAAATTTTGAGCCAGTCAGTCCTTATTGCTCGTCGTCGTCGTCGTTGTCGTTGTCGTGGTGGTGGTGGTGATGTAACAACGTGCTGTGGCTGCGGAGGACACCGGTAATCCCAAGAAAGAGATTCCTTAAGTGACAGTTGTCTCTGTCTTTGTCTGTCGGGAAAGTTTCTTCTGTTGCATGTCGATCAACCTCGATCTTACTCCGCCATCATTTACCATCTCCATTCTCCCGACGAAGCGATACTCTCTCTGACCCCTCTTTGTCAACGGGATTGTCAAACTGTGTCATGGGACTGAAACCACAAAACTACTCTCATCTCATGACTTGTGACACTTGATATTTACGTAATATAGATGAGACTCAAGTATGGGGGCCAAACGTTATAATTACATTTTTTACTGTGTTGCATAATAATCTGTACACGTACATATTTAGCAATGATAAAGGACGAGTTTTTCGTGGGGCGTGGGGGAAATCTGCTGTCAGAGGGCGATGTGGAACCACATGGATCGTGGTTAGGGCTAAACTTGCCACTGAAAGTTTCCCCATATTGTTACTTTCAGTTTATTTGTTGACTCCAGCGTTCCTAAAATAGGCTTGGCACTTTGGCATGCTATTTCTGCTGAAGTGATCCCGTATTCCCTTGAATGTTGCGGAGTAGTGGGATGTCCAAAACTACTGAATCGTAAAGTGTTGGTTCTTGTTCTTGTAAATTGAATTATTTTCGGAGATGAGCAAAAATGTAGCAAAGAATTGTAAGCTGTTGGAATTTAGATGTTGTTACTCCGGAAAACAACGGTCTGGTCGGAGCAGGAGGTGGAGGAATTGTTTGTATCCGGTTCATCTGCAGTCTGATCACATCAAAGTGAACGGTTAGAATTCTGGAGAACAAGAACTTTACAGAATCAGCACAATTAGTGCTCCAAAAAAGTAGTGGTTTCTTCATCCAACATCAGATTCCATCTGTTTAAAAATTATGCCTACATATAAATGCGGAACATTTTGCCATCAAATTAGGCTGTTTCACTGGCTTATATAAATTTCAAAATATACATTAGATAATATCGTACAAGAATAATTTAATAGAGATGTAGACGTGTTTTCCTCAAGGTAAAAGACAGCAACCTCTTCAATCGCTCTGGAAGATGGAGCAGAGCATAAAGAAACTTATTTTTCCCAAGGGACTCACGTCACACACAATAAAAAGAAACGTTAGGGTAGGAAACAGGTTTTATAAATGAGCTCATCCCTCCGTCCACTCATCGAAGGCGTGTGTGTATATATTTGCATAAAGAGGGTTGGTTGGGGTTTTATATAATTAACGAGAATTGGTAATACCATCATTTCAAAGTCCTGAAGCTTTATTACTTACAATGGAACATTTTGTTCCCAGGACTGCCCAGTGACTACCGTAATATATCACAAGGTGAGAAGTGTGAGATATTGGCACACAGTTTATTTACCTGGTTTGCCATAATTCAACTTACTTGATTAATATTACGCTTCATTTCTTGGTCGTCATTTTATCAATATTGATTGGAATGCGAGTGCAGTGATGGCATTACTGTATGTGACATATGTATGTATGGTGAACCGAATGGATAATTGGTATTGATGGTAAGAAGAAAAGGTGAAAATTATCATTCCTAGGGTCATAAAACCCACGCGTAGTTGTCGTCTCGTTGTGTAAAGTCATCAATAATATGCGAAATAAATGTGCAGCGATAAATAAGTAGCTCGTATCATCCTGCGAGCTAATGATTATACTGGGTGCACACGGAATTTTAGGAATGACCACAGGGCAATTTATTATTATTCACCTGTATTTTTACATTTAGTCTTGAATTAATAGTTTTGAAGGCTGTCGAAGCCACCGCGGACAGTACGAAGCGAACCTAATCGATCGGCGAGCGGCTTGAACGTCTTGTGGAACTCGGTAATTCTGTTCCGATGTATTTCCATACGGTCTCGAAAACCGTCCATGTCCTTGTGAAACGAGAGTTGAATCTCTTTAATCTCTTTGTTAAGCTTTTTGTTGTCCTGTAGGAGCCGCTCTTGATCGGCAACCAATTTCGCATATTTCGCCCTTAGCCGTCGATACGCATTGAGCAACTTGAAAAATAGAACAAATCAAGTTACCACCTTAATTATGACTAATTATGAGACTAATATCCTCTTAATAAATAGTCCCATTTCTATAAGTAAAAGCAGCGTCACTGATCTTATCTTATCGTAGATCCGATAAAATGTACTCACCTCCTCAACGCGTTGCTTATCCTCAGACGACTCACCACAATCTTGGTCTTGGTTGATTTCGCTTTCGTTATCCACTGTTGAATTTAAAAACATGTGATAATTAACTTTTTACGGTAAACAGACAAGTTAAAAAAACTATATGTACGCAATTTTACAATTAAAAAACTTTGTCAATTCATTCGATTTCAATCATATGTGACTTACTTGGTGATTTCTTGCTCTGTTTCGACATGATCAACGATTTTTAAGAAAACAACTAAGATTTTCGAACAATTTAATAATAACTCGCTGGAAAAAGATCTCTTCTCTGAGGCTGGAGGTTGATTCCACTGAACGAGTACAAAATTTTGACTGACTCCATGCTGTCTCCTGCTAAAATTCTATAATTTTTTCTGCGGAAGGTGGCCCTGAAGGCTCTGTTGGCAGGTGTGAACCATTTAAACCTGGATCTCATGCAAATATAATACTCGTCAAAATTAATTATAGAAAAATTCACTGCAAATCTTGAAATAGAAATGGGCAAATATAAATAAGCAAAGTTTTTTTCGGAATCTGAATTCAAGTTTCAGAAGCTGAAACTATTTTTGCAACTATTTTTTTTTGAAGAGGAAGATTTCAGTGCAATAAGTTTTCATGTATTTTTCTTATGAAAAGTATTTATGCAATTTTTCGGTAAAACAATGCAGAAGAAAAGTATACAATGATACAGGACTCACTCATATTCATGAATGAGTCCCGTAAAAAATGAAGTAGCACAGCAGATTTGGAAATAAAATAATTTACGGCGTTAAAGACATATGTATCAGATGAGAATTTTCAAGAATCAGTAATCAAAATCAGATAAGAACAAATTAGGTGGTCACATATGTAGATTTATACCTTTAGATATTAATTTTTAAAATTTCCATCACTTACTTCAACCATTCAAACTTTTTTAAACTGAAATATGAAAGAAAATCAATTCATTAATAAATACATGAATATTTCACCTGCCAGAGTGAGTCGTATGTGAAAGGATGTCCAAACCCAATACGTGTCGTGGTTCCTCCCTCATTTTGAGAATAGCAAGTTCGATAAGTTAGCTAACAATGATTTTTTTTACCAGTCTGATATGCCTGGCTCTTTGGGTTATTGTTGAATTAGTAGAAAATTGGGCGTGTCGGCCCGAACAAAGACCTCTTGACTCGAGTGCAAGAACAAAAAACTTTTGGAGACATTAAAAGTGTTATTGCAAAAAATGTGTTTACACAGAAGGCTTTTGAATGGCTGCAGTTACAAAGTTTTTTGGAGTTGCGAGTTGAGCTCTTGATTCCTGATATCGTAGGCAGGTAGAAGTACGAGGGGGAGGGAAAGAAAGGGAATTAAAAGCTAAGAGCAAAGATAAGTATGTAATAGTCTCACGTTCAAGTCTGAGGATCCCATCTGGGGATAAAAACGTCCGTAACTTTTCCACCTCTGTCTGTTCCTTGAGTCTCAACAGATTCAAAATAAAAGTCAGAATATAGGAATAAACACTAATCTACTTTTTCTCACACTCACCAACCATTCCGTTGATCTATGGTCAGGTCAGAGCACATCTCGATCAGCAGAAGCAGCAAGGAAAAAACCAGGAACAACGGAAATCCCATCCACGAACCGTCCATCTCGGAATTTTTTAAATTGAATAAAGGGCAACTGGGAATTGGTCGACGATTTCTCTCTTCAACTCAACAAACCAAACGGGCGAGTGTTCAATCTCTAATGAATTTTCTGTGACCGAAATGCCAAACTTTTTGGTATGTATGTACCTACGCGAGATCGCTTCATCACGTCACAGTGTCCACACTTTTCCGAGACGATGAAGCCTCGCCGTTGATTGATTTTGACATGTCTAATAAAAAGATCCTGGGAGATTAAAGGAGCAACTTCTCAATACCAACGTCATCCTCAGTTGTTCTGGAACTTGTATTGAAAGTAACATCCCCAAAGAAAAAAGTTGGACATGCTCAATCATAAAATGTGGGCGGTAGAAAAGAAAAATTGGCAGATTTCGTACCTAAAAAATCAATCCAAATTAGCAGAAAAGGAACTAGAACAATTGAAATTCAATACATTTATATCGACCAAGGACGAGAGAAACAATTCCCAGAGCACATGTCATTGAATAAGTAAACAATCCTGATTTTAAACAGGCTAATTTTTAACGAAAAGGGCGTGTTTGTTCACTTGTTAGCACAAAACCTGGCACAATAAACTTGCATTTACTTTTACCCTCTGCAAAATGTAGTAGCGATGCTAACAAAGGGTATCGAATTGTGTAGAATTCGTCGAATTCAAAGGAAAAGGATCCCCATTTAAATGCAAATTCTGTAAACCTTTTGGTTTATAATTCGTTTGTATGACATAATCCACTCATCCATGAAAATGGATTGTATCTCTTTCTTTACAGGGGAAAATGGTGGAGATGTTCGCATATACAAACGCATGATTTGCTCTCAACTAAGCTCTCTTTCACTCAGTTTGAGACTTTAAGCAACTTTCACCCGTGCTTTCACCTGTGCCTCCGACAGAGTTTGTTATTCTCTCCTCTGCAAACAAGACTATCAAATTGACGAACAATAAAAATCAATCTTATTTCCAAAGTGCTAAAAGCATGAACCCTTGACATTTAAGCATAAAGCGCAGTAATATTGAACCTACCTAATCAACGAACCATGAATATGCAAGTTATTTAAGTGGGTGTAGATTTGACGGTGTGGGCGAATAATAATTGCTACATTTATGTATCTGGAAACTCGACTGTTTTGCTGAATTTAAGTACTTACTACATCATCATGTTCCACCTGCATGAGTCCTGTTTGAAATCCCACCAGAGCTCTGACTAATCCTTCATGTAGCTGAATTTGAATCAAGCCTAATGCAAAACTAAGCCGTGTAACATAACAGATTACCACTGAACCAATAATGCTTTTTGTGTTTCCATCTGCTAGTTGGATTGTATTTGGAACGGCAACTGAACTGCTTTCAATTTTCCGGTGTACTTATCAAGTTTGCAATTGTTGTTCCACGTTTGTAGCATTATTCGTAATGCGATGGTGTGTAAGTATCGGGGTGAATATGCAATTTTCAATTTTGAAGGAGACCAAATTGTAGACCTTTGTGTAGTGCATAATTCTACAGTTGGTTCATTATTATGGTTCACATGACAAGAAAAGTTTTTTTCAAGTTGATGGAGGAACGTGTTTAGTTGAGTTCTCTCGTATTCCATCAATAAACAATCGTGAGAATGAAATATTTATGATTTCATCCATTACAAACACTCTTCCAAGCAAGGTTTCTCCTACTTACGGACGATATTCGGTGCAAGGTTGCTACTTTGCTGGGTTTCGGTGACAAAGTCTCTGTGCAATATGCAACTTTATCCAAGCTTTTGTGTTTCATTCAGCGTTTTTTTCGAGACATTCGGAACAAGAATCACAAACGGAACGGACAATTCGAAGGTAAGATGATCCTCAGTGCATTCATACATAAGCTGTTCCCAAGTCGTGAAGGGGGTCGTGACCCGCCTGTTCCAAAATAAATCAATTTCTGTGAAAACACATTTATCGAAGAAAGTTAGGCAACAATTTCCTGGATCAATTTTTAATTGAATTGGACCGAAACCTAATCCAAGTTTGAAACTTTTCCAGTATTTTATAAAATTCAATTTTAACTAAAGAAAGGTTGATTTATTGATACTGTTAGAAACTAACTTTTTCTTCTGCCAGGGTTTCTCTCGCCTTGAAGTTAAAATACAATTTACGGGGAAGCAAAGAAGAAGGGTGTGAAGTCGGCCGTACGTAACAAATAACAATTAGTCACCGCAAAACATCATCTCTGCAACCAACCCAAACAATTAAAAAGCTGCAATTTTCCAATCATCACACAACAGTTATGCACCACATTAAAGCATAATTTATTACCCTGCGTAGCGAGGTAATAATTTGGTGGAATTGTAGCAAGGAAGTCGCTTTTATTTTTCAACAGCTATTATGATCATCATCACGGTACCTGAGAGTAAAATAAAACGAGGAGGTTGTTGTTCTTCCTCCTGCTCCAGCCACAAGTGAAGAAATGAGACGAGGAAAGTGAGAATGAATGAATGCGTCTCCCTTATATTACGCCGTTTATGATGAAAGCGAAGAAAAGTTTTCCGGCGACTGGAGATGACTTTTAGTGAGGCTGAATTGAAAGGAGTCGTACATACGAGAAGCGCAATATTATTTGGGTTACGAGGTAGACACAACATAACGCGATGCGTCCAATGAAGTGGGAAATCTATTGGGCTGAAGAAACGCCAAGAAGAAGAAGGAGGGAGAGAGGAATATATAGTGCTGAGCTTTTGAAGACATGGAAAGCCCTTCTTTCCCCCAAGATGAGACTGCACTTAAGGGATGAATAGTGTATTAGTTTCCTAATGTAGTTAATATTGGGCTAAATGGAGGTTTCTTCTACCTCTGTCTGTACCAACAACCAAGTTAACTTCTTCTCCTTCTCCTCCTACTTCTCTCCGCATTCAGCATTCAACTATTCAGCACGACTTTCTTGGAAATAAATTCTCAAACAAACCGGAAGGAAGGAGTGTTTGTAAGCTTACAAACTGAACACAATCTCCACTTCTGGGCCATGTTAGCATTCAATTCGAGCAGTGGGCTTCGTGTGTGCTTCACTAGTTCCACTTGTTTCTGAGTGAAAGCTCTTTTAAGCCAGAAGCCATTGTACCAGAAGGATGAAGAAATAAGGGTGTCGACGACGAGGAGGAGGAGCACGACTTGAAAATAATGTACAAAGTTGGAATCCCATTCTCTCAAAAAACCTTGCTTTCTCTCTCTCTCCACTCCTGTTCTAATGACACAATATAAAATGACATTAACAGGTGCAACTGTGTCCCTGGAATAAGAAGATGATTATGCCAGTTGAAGATGTAGATCTGACTGAGCGAGCGGTACAATATTTTCAAAGTTATACATAATCTATACATTTTATGAGGAAAGTTTCCGTGTAAATTTTTCTGAAGAATCAAATCTCTTTCAAACAAATTTAAAAACTAGTTGTATCACTAAAATAAAGACAGAAAATCCACATTGTTACAAAACCCCTGAAAACAGTTAACAAGTTTTTTTTACTTTTTGAAGTTTTTTTTTAACAAATCTGAGCTTGTGTGAGACGAGGAGTAAAAATAAAAGGAGTAAATGTTTGTAAAAGTTAGTTTGATCCATGAATTGCTTTGTTCATCATCATTCTTAAGGGATCTTAAAACTTCCCCCAACGTCCAATTCCTTAATTTCAACAAGATCTTAGATACCTTTTCTTACGCAACTTTCTCCCAACAACCAACAGTTGTCAAATAAAACATCTTCTTTTTTTGTAAAACACATTTCACTTTTGTAAATAAAATTGCATTTAAAAACAAGGATAATAATATTCCATTTTTATGTCTGTATGACCTCAAGTGTGCAATTGAACAATAGTTTGATCAAATTTTATGCCGAGGTAATCTGAGATGACAAGACATCAAAGGCTTAAAATGAAACGGATAAGTCTTTGTCGTTGAGAAAATTCAAATCAGGATCAGAATGAATGGAAGTGCGTCCGCAGTTACAAGATCGTCTAGTTGTACAATGTGTTACATTACACTTAAGCTCTAGGTTTACCCTCCTCCATCCCAAGGAAACCCATATCATCTCCTTTATTGCCTTAACTTTGAATTCAGACCGACATTTATGTTCCAACTTTGTGTCATTTAAGAACTGTTTGAAATCTCCTTACGCGCAAGGAGTAACACCACTTTGAAATTTCACCACAAACACTACCGCTTATTTACATTTTTCTCGCCGCCGATTGCACTTTTTCCATGGGGTTTGCTTTGCCTATAAAATTTACTACATACAACGGGATCAATGATGATTGGTTTTGTAATACAAAAAATTTGCAACTCTATATTTCCACGAGTGTCGACGTCGAGGGTTTCCCGTTATTGCAACTTTTCACATTTATTTATGGTGCCCAGCATAAAAAAATCTTTGGGCTAAAAATCCACCCGAGAGATTGAGTCATTTTTCCATGTGCAATTTCAGGTTTGTGCAGGTGTTCACCAGAAGAGAGGGAAAGAAGAAATAAGAAAGAGTCGTTTGGAGAGTTTAAGAATTATTGTCAATTGGAACGGGCGAAAGTGGGAGTTTTCGGAGCGGGGTGGCCATGTATGGCATGGCACTGGTCTGGCTAGGCTAGGCTATGGCACTGCTTGCGAAGGGAGGATGGAGCTGAAGACAGTAAATTGGAGTGAAAACAAAGAGAAACGAATTACTTCTGACTTACACACCTGAGCCTTGAGCACACTCACGAATGAACCAAGTCAACACAAAGATTCGTCGTCGTCGCCATCGTCGTCGTGGTCGTCGTCTCACTTATTTTTCTCGGTATGCTTACGTTGCGTTATACTCAATTTCAGACGCTGTTGTTGCAACTATTTTAGGATAAACATATCTTGTCCACAAAAAATGGTCAGAAAGTTGGCACTAATTCATAATTTTGAATTATTACTAACGTTTCATAATAAAATTGGTATTCCAACTTTAAACAAACTCGTAGGATGGATACATAACTAGCAAGGGATTTGAGGTGACTTTGGTAATACTTTAGTAAGTAGACAATTGAAGGAGAAGTGTGTAATAATTTTGTCTACATTTCACTTATGAAATACATTTTTTCCAATATGAAAAGGGTTAAATTTGAATTTTTAAATTTCATCTGATCTTATCAACATGATTATCTCAAAGTGTCTCAATGCTTTTACAGTGTTTCCAACTGATGATTGTTTGGGTTCCGTGTCAAAAATTTGCTAAAATGTTGGCATGAATGGTAAGTGCTACGCTTTCTCTTCCGATCAGGTCGACGAGTCCGGGTGAAGAGTGTGAGTGAGGGGGAACTGCTGAGGCTGGTGTTGGGATTGAATAAGTTGGCACAAGTTCCAATAGATTTATTTCTTTTCCCCATTGAGATATGAGAAAATTAATTAAACGGATCAGGATGCAGAGGAGAAAATGTGGGTGGAGTTGGTTGCTTGGTGTGGAACGTGGTCCTATTTTAGCTAATTAGAAGTCCAAGGGATGACATATTGCTCACGGAGAGTGGCGGGGCTGCCACCCACATAAATCATCCCTTCAGCCCTCCACACGTCCACACATCCAACATCCACAAGTGTCGCAATTTTCACTATCATGACTCTAATTCAGTCTCATTTCCAAACTTACTACTTTCTCCGCCATGACTTATTTACATATCTGCTCAGCCCTCCTCCAGTCCTGGCTGTACACTTCTTCGCAATAATGACAGCGATACAAATTGGGACGACGGTGCAACACTTTTCATAGAAAGAGACAAATCATCACACCCATATTTCCGCAGTGTACACTGCAACATGACCAATTTGTAGCCGGTCTAAATGGCGTCTCGAATTATTTAGGGCTTCCTAAGCAAGATGTACATACGTAATTTTACACTTTCGTAAACTGACAGGGTTGTCAACACCGTGCGTAATTTTTTATTACCTTTTGCATTCAGTGGATATCAGCATTTAACTCTGGTTTTATAGCAGCTCGAAGGTTACAATAAGTTTTAATTTTACATGACTCGAATGACTTGTCACTTTGTGAGACAAAGAGACTTTTAGCTGCGTAAAAGGCAGCACACGCTTCCATTGATTTGCACTCTGGACACGTAGTCCAATGTCGTCTCATCAATTGATTCGAATCTGACCCAGGATTTTACAACTCTTCTCCAGAATCCGAGCAAGTTACTACGTATGTGCATACATACGTCTACCACCCACACCGGGGTGAACTTAAGCTATGAAGTCGCAACTCATGGCAGTGTCAAAGTGTCCATTTAACTGTATCCATATATACTTACATACACATATTACATATGTATTCCACAGAACATCTTTTCGCCCACACGATAAACTACCAGACTTTTTGCCAACAAAATAAAAACAAGTAAATCTTCATCCTGCTTATGCAACGCTGCAAAACTATGATTACCCCAGAGAAACAAAGCATAAACCAAATTAGTCCAAAAATCTAGTCACCTCACCTCATTTCTTAAACAATTTTATTAAAATACACATTAACGTCATTTCTAATCCCCAACGTGGTGATTAGCGAATTCTGCAGATCACACAAATTTCACCCTACTACACATCACATAAAATCCACTTTCTCTCAACAATAATACAATTTTTCTCTGTTGCTCTGCATTGTATCGGATTGTGGGGTCTCGTATGTACATACTACAAAAAGGGACCCTGCTACAAACAAAAGGGGGAAATCTCCGGCATCCGAGTCGTATATCCATCTGTAATAAGGAGAGAGCCGGCAGGAAGGAAGAAGAAAGTGAAAGGTAAGCATTAAATTCATATTTGAGTTTTGTGTTGGCTCTTGCTTGATGCAGAACTCGTGCTGTGTGCAACATAAATAAATATGTAGCTAATATAATTTAGCCCCTGCCTCCACACACACACAAACACACATTCCGACCAACCTGGAAGTGGAACAGGCAACACGACGACGACGACTAACACAACATTCGAAATTTGTACAGAGCTTCACTCAGTCTCTCGTGAGTCGCCTCTCTCTTCTGATCGTACTTTCTCTCCCTCCAACCAGCCAGCCAGCCAACTTTACGCTTTGCATGACTGGATTTTTGTTTGCATTGCAGAGCTTGATTCCATCATACAACAACGTTATTATGCTTCATGTTTTGTCTCTTTGTTTCATATTTAGTTGTGTTTGTGACCATGAGGATCATCCAGCAATTGGCCAAATGTTTACACAAATTATGATGTAATCAGATCCCTCGTTGGAGACGAGACGACCTTAAAATTCCTTTTGATTAAAATGATATTTTGTAAGTAAGAAGACGAGGTAAGGATAAATTTAGAGGTATTTTGTGCGTGTACATATGTTATGCTTCAACCCATCATTTTTTTTGTCGTCTCAACTTTCCAGGTTAGAAAAATACGGATGTTTGTACGTTCTCCCTGGAACAAGAACAAAACAAGAGTAAAATAAAACAAGGACTGGTTGTCCTTTATGTATTTATTTATTTAGCTAACAACCAGTCGTTGCGTGTACCATGTATTACAAACAAATCAATTTAGAGTATGTTGTTTTCAGAATTTTACAGTTAAACAAGCCCTTTTCTTCATTTACTTCATTACATTCATTTATGGCAGTATTATCATGTACATAAAGGTCATTCTTGTCCAATTACGTCTTTATTTAAGTGCCCGTCGTTTGCTTTTGTATTAAATACTTGCCATTGTTTAATTATCATTAGTTAATTGGTTCACCTAATACAGTACGTTTTGTAGCCGAGATTTAACTTTTTCATCTTCACGTGCCTGCATAAACGCGGAGACGGAAGAATATTCCTGGTCAGCAAGCCAACTCCTGGAATGGGACTTGTCTCCCATTCCGCACGTGTTTTGTTTGTGGTCCAAGAATACATATTCTTCGACCAAATATGCAATACCCACACGCCACCCAGACGAAGAAGGCAATAAGCGTCTCGTGGTGTGTGAATCTCGGTCAGTGAAACGAAAAAAAAGTTGTCTAATAACTTGCCGTGGAACAGCCTCCTCTGGATATCGATTTAGCTGGTATATTTCATTCCAAAGTCTTCCTTGAGACAAAGGGGACAGGTGGAGCCGGATTTTTAGATTATATGGGAATTGGGAATTGCCAAGAAGTGCATGCAAAAGGTAATCACTGATGGAATGCGCTTGAGCCCTGTTTTTTGCATGGAGAGAAAGTAAATTGAAGTTGTCGGTGGTGTCGTTGCGACTTTTGGTCTGAGCTTTGGCAGGGCAGGGAGCGAGGTGGTTGTGGGGGAACAAAGGAAGCAGCTCTTGTGCGTTGAGGGTTGTTCTCTATGCCAGAACCAAGTCCTTCCAGTGGCGGTGGTGGTCCTGGTAGTGGTGGAGAAACTCACTTTTTCGTTCGGGGTTTTCAGCCCCAGTTGCAAACCTACAAATTGGAGTGCAGAAGGGAAAGCTGCTTTCACTCTTTGGACGGTGCTGAACTCCGCAAGAATTAGTGCAAGCCAGTTATCAGAGCTTGGGTCTAACCAAAAACACGTGTAAATCAGAGGGCTTAGTACAAAACACCCTCAATCCAACGTTCTCCTCCTCTTTTTCCTCCAGTGAAAGCTGGGGTTGTAAACTGCAAAATTGAGACATTCTCACTCCAAACATTGAGTTATTATCAAGATTGTTCACTCCATGTGTGGGAGTAGTAGTGAGCGGAAGAATAGGAAGAAGCCTTCGCAAGTTCTCTCAATCATCAGTAAAAATCATCCTTATTATTGCGAACAATCAAAAAGAAACGTCGTCATTCTCATCCAACCGGCCCACGTTTTACTGATTCACAAAGACTGAATTGAAAGAAGACGAAATTAAGAATCCAGTGGCGGCTAATTTATTATTAAGCTTTTTGAGGCCAGCTTTTCGTTGACTGATGGAAGTCTCACGACCAGTCGCACGGTGACTGCCCCACAAGTTCATAAATATAAATTGACATCACAAGGGAAACTGTTTCCTAACAATAACTCCCAGTTGTAGCTGGGACGACATTTATGGTCAATCCTGACAACCCACGACAAGGAGAAGGTTCATTCCAATGAAATTCTTTTCCACGAATTGAGAGGACATTATTGAGGAGAGAAAGCAGGAAGGGCTAGCAACCAACCAACCAACCAACTATCCGTCTCACTTTTACCCCTTCGTCGTCGTCCCGACTCTTTCATCTAATAAAGCAGACTGTCGTTAGTTTTGGGTTGGTGGATGCCAGTTAGTCGGGTCTGGCTGGGATATTCCAATGTAATGCTGAGTGTCCGAAGCACCAACGATGCAAGAAGATTGACAAAAGATCAGAATAGAATTTGAATGAAACAAAGAGCGGAAATTGTTGGAGTTGGAGAAAAGATCGCCTCAGGAGGAAGGGTTGTTGTTGTTGGAGTGGAGGACACGACGACCTGAGTGGTAGTGCAGCAGTAATTTGGCTCAAAAATTGAATAAAACTCATAAAGTGACATAAGGTGGGCTCCCTTCCTTCCTCTCACAACTTGGAAGTTAACCTCCCTCGCTGATGAACCCGACTTCTTCCTTGGTGTATAAAACTATACCATAAAATCATAAAGCTTCTGAGATAAAGTCTTCTTTTGTTTGGAAAAATCCGTTGTGGGTGGGTGGAGATTTTAAGCTGTTTCTCCTGTTTTGTTTTGTTGTCATCCTGGAACAAAACTGCATTTGTTTCCTCTCCTCCTTTCTCAAGAAGTCAGAGTGGATCGACTTGTTTCGCTACTTTACGCTATAAAAGCATCCCTCTCATCATCAGGAAATAAAAGTATTTGATTCTGTGCCAATGTAAACTGTATCACGAAAATTCTTAGATAGGCAACGCAACCAGGGAAGATAACATGAATCAGATTTTGCTCAGATTGTTGCAAAAATTAAACATTCGCAAATAGAGAAATCAATTTCTCCCCATAGTTTTAATGTTATTTGACTGAGTAAGAAAACCAAAAACTTTGTGTTATTCATAATCACCATCTCCTTTAATTTCGCCCCTAATAATACCCACTTAAAATAAGTACATAACTTAAGTACTTAACTTAATGAAACTAGATATTTACTCGTATTGCGAAAAACATTAACATGAATTACATCCGCCACCGGAAGTAACTTTTAAAAAACAGCCAAAGATACCTAAGTACGAACTAGTTCGAAGACATTCTCCTGTGAAATGGGGCGATGCGAGGGCAATAAGTTTTTTGTGATGATGATGCGACGAGGGGTCTCCATTGTCAAAACTTACTTTCTCCTACTTCTCCTCCTGCAAACAAATAAAGGTAAGAAGATAAATTTGTTACGTAAAACTTTTCGAAACAGGAACAAGGCCTGCATAACAAAAAACTCTTATCGATAAATGATAACCTATTCAAATATTTATCTCAAAAAGAGAAAAGTAAACATTCCTAAACTTGTAGTAATGCGAAAATAATTTACATATTTAGTCCACTAAGGATACCACTTTATTATTATTTATTAGCACAAAATATGGACAAACCATAAGCATCGCATCGCATTTCTCTACAACCCAAGAATTATCATTCTCATCAACCCCACTTGTGAAACAACCCACAGTTCAGACAAATCTTGAGAATCCTCTTTGTTTTCTTTAATGAACACGCTGCGTCGGTTTTCATACGGTTGTCAAAACCAACAATGCTTATACAGCTTATACTGACTAAAGGCTGACTAAGCAGTCAACTTGGCTTGTCAGCTTTATCTGGAAGTCAGACTCAATTCTGGATTGGACACTCGGAGAAGACATTAATCCCGAGCTTGTTGGATGGAAGTGTGAAAGGATACTGCACATCCACTCATAAATAATGTTGCATTATCACTCCTAATTAGTTCTGTCGGTGCACAGTCCAAAATTATTGTGCTACACGGCCGCCCTCCTAAATACGTATCCTATGTACACGGTCTGAGGAAGCACCCCGTCTCATTTCCATCCGTCAAATAAAGTTTGCATTCAGCTGGGCTGATCTGACGAAGCGAGCGTTATGCATTATTGCTGAATTAAGCGCAAAAGTCTAGTCTACCTCGTATTTAAACGTCACATGTAATTAAGACGCGAAGAGGGAAACATAATTATTAAAATAGCTCGAGTATATAAGATGCGTAACAACTTTACAGACATTGATTTCTCCTCCAACTTTGGATTCAAAGTTATAAAGAATAAGAGCAGAGATGAAGTGACGTAAGAGGGGAAAATTATTCTCAAGTTGACGATAAGATGATTCGATTATCTGTTACGTATTATTATCATCATACTTATGCACTAGTTTTTAATCTATTTGTTTCCTAATCTATTTACCAGAATGAAATTGGATCAAAATTAATGATGTATCAAAACGTGTAAGTAAAAGAGGAGGAGGAAGAGAAAGGATTAAAGCGTCAAGAAAAATTGCTCCTTTTACTACTTACTTTACGTCGTATTTATTTCATTACAGAGTTGATTTAGGTATGTTATTACGAGTCGAGAGGAATCACGCACTACGCAATTTTGCACAACGACTAGTAACATTTCCTCCTTGGTTTAAATTGTGTTTTCTCCCTCCAGTCATTGTTCCCTTACAACATATAAATCCTCGCTCGTAGTAAGTAATGCACCCTGTGAACAAGTCATGTTTGGCAACTAATTTAAATTAAAATCCGGATATTGTTTCGAGCATATCAGGTTTCATGGTTGATCGATTCCTTTATTCCCTTTGTTGCTCAGGCCGAAACCCACTTATACATCCGGAACTGCACCCACTCATTGCACAGCCTCGCTTTGCACTTCATTCATTCATGGAGCAAACCACCTTTATCGGTGATTTATTAGGTGCCAATGTTTTTATTTTGCTTCACGCAACCCCGTCATTCCGGTTTCAAATGTGACCCAGCATTTGTTCGCCAGAGTGGAAAAATAAGTGAGTAAAGGACGACGACGTTGCAGTTCCGAGAAAGAAGTGGTTCAAAAATAATTCGAAATGTTATTATTACTCACTAAATGAGAATGACAGTGAAAAGGGTGGCAAGCAGGTGGGGTTGGTTGGCAAAATAGCATTTGGGTGCTATTAGCGTGTACTTACTCATAAGCACAAATATACGTACTCTCATGTCAAAGTTAATTGAATACGAATAAGTAAACTGCAAACCAGTCAATCACCTTTTTCTCTGGTCCCCTCGTGTGCTTAACACGATACGTGACGTGGACAAACCTTACGCATTTTTATCGTTCTGTTATATTTGAGATATGCATTTTAGTTTCTCATTGAATTCTTCCCCGTTCCATGTTTTCTTTATGTTCGTGTATTACATAAACACATTTGAAAATAGACGTCTCGCTAATTATTCTCGGTGTCACTATTACGAAAGTAAGGGACAAAGTGGATTTAAAAATTCATGACTGTTTCCCAAGTCGATGTGATTGTCTGGGAAATTATTTGCGGTCGGTGGTTATAACATGACCACTGTTCGTTCGTGGGAGGAAGCATTGTCGTCTCGTCGTATGAACAAAGGCTTTTCTGACATGGGAAGTGTAGGAGAATTCTTTATGGGTAAACTGGATCTGTGAATTGGTTGGTTGTTGCCGACAGTTTTTGACTCATCTGGGCTAAAAATTCTCATTTAAAATTCTGAAATGCGTGCGTGGGGCAAGAAATGAGACGGAGTATTTTTATTACGTCTATGAACTTGAAATGAAGAAGGTTAAGTCTCTTTGTTGCATAGTTATTTATTAACACGCTGGATTACAGCTGTTCGTACTTTATCATTTATTAAACCTACGCTCTTTGTTGGGCTTATCCTTGGAGGGGATAAATTGAAAATAAGTTTTTTATGGGGGAAAGACGATTCAAATTTTTATTGGGGTACGATCATGGAGGAGCTAGCTCGAAGCCAAATAGATTTACAAAGGAACGCAGGAGGTGTAAGTGGAGGCATGCGAACTTGTTTAATAGGAATGGTTAGCATGAACTTAGAGCCCTCGGAGAATTTGGCTGGAGGAACTTTAGTGCGATGCAATAAAACCGGACACGGTATTACCAACACTTAATTGTTGGACTAATTGTAATTGTGGTACTTTTCACTGGGAGGAAAGGTATAGAAGAGGAATAATTACATTTTTAATTAGACTAATGATGATTATTGCTTGGGGGATGATGAGTTTTGTCTTTAAAGGACATGATAATAAGGAACGGGTTTGACTCTGCAGTCTTATTATCGTTCTCCCTACTTCTGTACACGCACACATTATTCCAAGGAAAGAGAAGCACCCATATTGCACAAGTCCAGCATTTTAACTCTTTTCCTCAAGAAATGTAAGAAACATTTACAAAGTTCATAAAGTGGAGAAAGTTTATGATATGCTAACCACTCGAGCAGTATAAATAAGTAATAATTCGCTGCTGGAATTGCAGTTTTGATAACTAATTGTAAGAATTGCACTTTAATTTCAAGGTGGGTTATTTCCGTTCAGGAAATGCTGTATTATTAGTCATCATAATTCGGATGATACCAAATGAAAGCATTGAAATCCTTGTTGAAATCTTGCCTCCGAGTCGCTTCCGCGTTTCCTCTGAAGGTTAGTGTTTGAAGATTAGTTGGAGATTTCATGCCTAGTCGAGCATCTCATTTGACTCTGGTAGGAGAGAAAGGGGTGCAGTCGTCACTGCCTAATTGGGTGCACTCACTTTGTCTCCATGCATTTTACTAACATGGAAATTTAAGCTGTCATTTCTAAAGATTTATGTGGAAATTGTGATGCAAGTTTTCATCTGTGATAAAGAATCAATTCATTCAAGATTTGCTTCCTCGCCTTCCGTTGGATTTATGCAGCTTGTTATGGGCACGAAACAGTTGTGGTTTTCTATTCTTAATACATATTTAACCGTCCAAGGGCTGTAATACTGTGAAAATATTATCTACAACGAGGTCAGATTTGACGGTAGAAGGACGAAATTTCGAATTTAATTACTCCATCGAGGGTTGAATGTACATGTTCCAATAATTTTATGTCTCATAGAAACGACCTAAAAAAGTCTGGAACGTTTCTCCTCTTGGTTTATTATTAAATCTGGAACAAGGCGAGTGATACTCTTGATGGCTAAGCAGCTCGGAGGGATTAGGGGATTTCCAATATATGTGTTTCCCAGTCGTCGTCCCCACCTTTCACCACGCCACCACTTCGTCTTCCTCCTCTTGTCGTCGGTGCAGCGGCGAAGGTCGTAAATCTAACAAGAAGAAAATGAATTATTATGGAAACTTTAAGTACGCCTTAAACTCTATAAATTGTGTCTCTTTTATGTCCCTCGTTATAATTTTTTGGAACATGTTGGAATGGTCTGCATCATTTTTTGCATTCATTATTTCATAGTAACGCATGAGACCACAAAGCCAGCCAGCCATCCAACCAACCTCTAATTTCAGTCTACTTTCACCCATAAATGTGAGGCCCTAAGTGTACACTCATATATCTCGCCTTGCATCGTTGGCTTGGCTTTCTCCATCGGATGAGCAGCCAACGTTATCAGAATTATGGTTAAAAACGCGACTTATTAAGAAGAAGGTATCCACATATGCAATTTTTTACAGCTTTAATTAAAGAAATACATGGAAAATTCTCGTTGTACGTATTGCAAGTTGTACATGGATGATGTTTCATGGTCGTATTTTAGCAATATCTATGTTGCAATATGTGTGTATAGGGTATGTACATGCATCCTCCTGACAGGCCTCACACCGGTTGCCCCATTGCTGGCTGGGTTGACCCATGAATTTAGAGCAAAATTTTAATGTAGCCGGATAAAGAATGTATTATGCATGGGGGTGTAGTGAAAAAAGGACGACAGATCAGTGAGTATCAGCAGTAAAAGTTGAGGAAAAGACGGGCATAAAAGTGAAACAAAATAAAAGGCGACATTTGTGCGGACAAGCCGGGCGTCCGTTAGAGAATGGATTGGACGGGAAGCCATTTGGTCATGTGAGTTACAAATTGTTGCGACTGAAATGGTTCCCTTGGCCAAGGTCTACGCTGTCCGTCTCTGGAATGTGCACCGTTGCTACTAAACTGTGCTAAAGTAACCATAAATGGTCCGAGGTGGCCGTGAGTGTGTGTGGAGGACAATCTCTCTCCTTCTCTCTCCCGTAGTCCCCATGCAGAGGAACATAAACAAACTCAATTTGTTTCGTAAAGAGATGAAGTGCCACGATACAGAGACCACTCTCCGCGGTTGCCCAAGTAAATAGGTAGCAGTGGGACTGGGAGAAAGAAGGCAGGCAGTGTATGAAAATGATG